TATATATATATAACTTGTTTTAAGTTCGTTGCAAGGGAAAAATAATGAAACTATTATGAAAATTTATTTCAGGAAAAGGCTTGAAAGATTAATTAAATTAAATTAAATTCATAGAGTAAACAATTATTCCTGGTCCTTCAGAAAATATGGACCAAGAAAATGCTTGTGTCGTTGACTTAATTTTTCATACGAAAGCAAAATACTAAAACATTATAAATTTCAGATAGATGAAACATTGATGGAAAAAGAAAAAACCACCGGTGGGTCATGGGACTCTATCAAAATTAAATTTTATGGTTACGAGTTTTAGTATTCATATCGATGTCCCTAATAACAAATCTATAAGAAAAAAGGATATGGTCATATATAATGCACTCTATAGATAAACGACGTATGAATAATCTCTGTCTACCAATCAATGTGTGTCATTGTCAAGTTTACAAACATTATATGCATTCTTGTATTTTGATCATATTAAACTACAATGAATTACAAGCCTATAAATAGCAAAATCGATCAACTAGTCAAAGTGACTAATCACTCTTAATTGGAATTAAGTTTTGTTCATTTTATATTTGTGTCGTAGAGTAAAGGATTAGGGTTGGCTCATTTTGGGTCCAATAATGCAAGACATGACAATGATGACATTGTTTTTCTATTTCTGCTAGGGATGGGGGATTCAAATATTTCAATCAACCGGGGATGTTAACGAGCTTTTGATATGCAAAGTGCCGGTGAACAAAGTTAGTTTACTCACCTTGTATATATTGAGTTAAAGTACCCTTGTACTTAAATTTATATAAAAATATTTTTTCTTGCATAAAAAAGGAAAGTGTTTTAGGGCTTAGTCACATATAGATAAGTTAAGTTAGGTAGCTATTAAAACTAGATCGGATGTTGCAATGACTAAATAATTCATATTATTGATTTTATGGATTATCAATCCTTTAATTGTAACATATTTTGATATGGTTGAAGTAAACTCTAATTAGATTCTAAATTTAACTTTTATAAAGATTTGGTTCTCATTGATTCTAAGGCTTGAGTTGTATAGATAATAATGCAATTGACATTTGATCATATTTGTGGTCAATGTAGGATTTCAACTTGTATAATATTGATAAGTTAGATATTTGTAAAATGTTATTAATTTTATCGCCTTTGCAACGATCTGACATAGTGATGATATATATTAAATTTGTTTATTAAATTGTTTATAGAGTGTTTAAGATGGACTAAATTATTATTGGCATTGAACCTAAGACCCCTGATAGACAATATTAGCCTATTCTAAAATATAACACTACCACTTTAGTGTGGAATGAAATGAAATATCTTGAAATTAGGTATATTGTAATACTTTTTTCATTTTTTTTCATAGTTATTTCATGCTTTTGCATGAGACTTAAAGAAATGATTAATATTTTAGTTTTTAAAAATATTTATTATTTACTTTCCTTTTATACCTCTTATTTATTTTATTTTATTTTTGCATTCAAATCTTTAGACTGTTGATTTGTGTGCACTTATTATTGTTATGCGCTTTTTGAGAAGTCCATGAATTAATGTATTGATTATTAGAATACACATGTAAACTGTAACATACTCCATTTAATCACACTTTTAAGTAAATTATGTCTTTTGAGTATCCTGAATAAATACTGTGGAAAAAAAATCATGCATGGATGAATAATATTGTTGGAAATATGTTACCCTCATAAATGCAACATTAATTTCACATAAATGATTGGAGAAGAAATAAGTAGTATATTAAAAATAAATAGACACATTGTTCAATAAACATACATTAATTATCAAGGGTAAAAATGAGAAAAAAAAATTAATAAGTCATTGGTTTTAAAAAAGTGATAATGAAAAAAAAAACAAAAAAATACTATCAAAATAACTATAAAAAAAATGTCGGGAGTAATATTGTACTCCCTCAATCCATTCTATATTAAATGTTGTCTTAGTTTATTTTACATAAATTAGGAAAAAGTAATCAATAGATGAGAGAATAATAATTTTATAAAATTAACCTTTTGATTAAACTCTTTTTTACTGAAAATGGTGAAAAATAATAATCATTTTATAAAAAATATTATAACGATTATAAATTTAGAAAAGGTAATTAATATTACATTAAAAAATTAATATAATACTTATTTTAAAACTTATTTTTCTTCAAATACAATACTTATTAGGGAATGAAAAGAATATCTAAATTGTTCACATGTTGACTTTGTTCAACAAATGACAATTGGATTTCTTGTCTAATTGATTGAAGTAGTTTACTTGATAAATTATGCCTTAAAAATAGTTCAAAGTATAACAAAATAATGTTATATATATTTTAAACTTGATTAAAGATTTTAACAATCACTCATTTTCTATTTTTTTTCATTTCCCTATATCCAAATTTGGTTGTTACCTTAGAGATATAAAAGAGGGGGAAAAAGAAAAATATAAATATTTTTTTAAGGATATTTGTACAATATCTTCTTTAGGTAAAAGATCAAAAAGGTACATTAATTTTTAGGCTAGTTCTTGTTCAGCAATATTTTTCCCAAGATTAAGTTTGTATGCTTCCATTTTTTATATACCTTTTAAGATAAAAATAAAATGAAAGGAGAAAGACAGAAAAAAGAAAAGAAGTACTATTATAATTACTTGTTTTAATGGTTTTTACCATAAAAAATGTTATATATAGTGATATGCAAATTTTTTTATTAATATATATATATATGGGTATAAATTTATTTAACGTATAAGTACACAAAGTTTAGTATTAATTTTAAATGATATTTAACAACATATATTATATGTCATTATGACTTATACTTATACTTTTTAACAATATATCATTATATGTTATATTTATAGTATAGATAAAAGTAATTTATAGTAAAACGTATTGTGTCACTATAGAATATGTGTCGACATAACATAATATAATTTATTTGTAACTTTTTAAAATGAATATTAAATCTCATCAACCATTAGATTAATATTTTTTATTAAATAAATCAAGTCTATAAAGATTCTTCTTATTTTAAAACTAGTTAATACTTATTGATCAATTAGTTTCATTTCAATGTATAATATAATTTTTTAAAATAAAAATGTAAATGATCATATTAATTTTTTATGAATGTTTAATTTATCTAAAAATTAAAATGCTTATATATATATAGAGAATGATCTATTTACTCGAAAAGTAAATTCACTTAGAGTTACTGAAATCAATAACTCATGTTTTGCATGAAATTTTAATGATCTAATCGTTAAATCAAATTTTTTTTAATACATAGTAATGGTTTTTAATTTTTTCAAAAAAATTAAAAACTATTTAACATTCCATTTTATTAATTTAAATCAATGTATAAAATGCTTTTATGGTTATCTATCAATTTGAATTAATGAAACAAAGTATCACATATTTTTTTTTTATTTTTTTTAAAATTTTACAAATTTAATATATACATTAAGAACTTTCAATTTAACGATTAGATCATTGAAATTTGATGTAGAACATAAATTATTGAGTAGTAGAATAAGTATAGGTATACTTACTCTTTGAGTAAATGGATCTTTCATATCTATCTATCTTTCTTTCTCTCTATATATATAGAGAATTAATCACCTATACATTGTCAGTATAAAGTTTTTTTACACTGACAACCAATCATATCTCTTAATAGTGTCATGTCAGTTGCTTATTTAATGAAATAAAAATAAAATAAAATAATTTAAAAGATATGATTGATTGCCAGTATAAAAAACTTTACACTGACAGTGTATAAATGATTAACTTATATATATATATATATATATATATCATAGTATTATATATAATTTAACAATAA